TCTCCTGCCTCAGCCTCCTGAGTAGCTGGGACTACAGGCGCCCGCCACCACGCCCGGCTAATTTTTTGTATTTTTAGTAGAGACGGGGTTTCACCGTGGTCTTGATCTCCTGAACTTGTGATCCGCCCGCCTCGATAATTTTGGTATTTTTAGTAGAGACGGGGTTTCAGTATGTTGGCCAGGCTGGTCTCGAACTCCTGACGTCAGGTGATCTGTCTGCCTCAGTCTCTCAAAGTGCTGGGATTACAGGTGTGAGCCAATGCTCTCAAGCTCTTTTTTTGTTTTAACGCTTACAATCTACTTGGTGAAAAGACTAAAAGCAGAGTTGCTAGTATCTGTATTTTAAATAAGGTTTTGAGAAAATAATGACCACGATGTGAATCCTGAATATAAATTCTATTTTCCGAATAGGATGGCAGCAGAAAAGCAGCAAAAGAGTCCCATACTGCTCAGGAAGGAAGGAGGAAAGTTGTTCTAAATCAGATTAGAATAGCGCTAGGTTTTTCTAAGAAAGAGATAAGTGAGGCTGGGAAAAAAGGGATAGCACAGCAAAAAGCTACCTTAAGAGAGAAAGTAGGTGATGAGTGGAATGAACTGGGTGTTTCTGAATAAAGAAGACTGAAGCTGCCTGTGGCAGAAGTAGCACTAACTAGAGTCATTGGAGGCGAAGCTTTCATTCTCCCTGTAGTTCACTTTAACATTAAAGTTCCACACCCAGTTTAGAGTTTTAACAGCTAAGAACATAACTAAACTGGGGAGACAAATAACTGCTTTTTATTCTCCTCAGCAAATATTTATTGAGTATCTGCTTTGTTCAGCTGCTATGCAAAACAAAAGGAATACAGTTTCTGTCCTTAAGGTACTTACATTCTGTGGTTCAATTAGTTTTTGTTGGTACACTAAGTGCCTGAACAACAATTCTGCCACATGTGTCATTTCAAAGGCCAGAGTTCTAAAAAAGGAACTTTTGAGGTTGCCTTCATATATAAATATCACATGTACACTGTAAAACATTTGTATACATACAAAAAAGCACATTAAAAAAATGTCTTGTCAGGTGTGGTGGCTCACACCTGTAATCCCAACACTTTGGGAGGCCGATGTCGGCAGATCATGAGGTCAGGAGTTCAAGACCAGCCTGACCAACGTGGTGAAATCTCGCCTCTACTAAAAACACAAAAATCAGCCTGGCGTGGTGGCACACGCCTGTAACCTGCAGGAGGCTGAGGCAGGAGAATCGCTTGAACCTGGGAGGTGGAGGTTGCAGTAAGCTGAGATTGCGCCACTGCACTTCAGCCTGGGCAACAGAGTGACAGACTCCATCTCAAAAACAAACAAACAAAATCTTCAGAGGAAGACCTAAGTGTCAAAAAAAAAAAAAAAAAAAAAGTGAGGCTCTTATTTCTCCTCCTCTACATAATAGCACTGTTCCCACTCCATTGCCCAGTTAACGGTAGTTTTGTGTGGCTCGCCTCATACTGCCAATGCATATGGAAACGCTCATCCATCCACCCATCCATCACTGAATTTAGTATCAGGGGGAAATACCTACAGTAAATACTTTCAGCCAAAGGATCTGGATTTAGAAATGTTTTCATTTTAGGTATAAAACCATGAGATTATAAAATGATTAGCTCTTACTTCAAATATTGGCATGGTAAATTCCTTATCAATAAGTTCAGAGAAAATATAAAAAAAGTATTCTTAAGGAAAATTGAAAATATTCAAAAGAGTAACTACAAATGATGCCTGAAGAGAATCATACCATGCTAGAATAAAAGGAGTCCAGAACTCTTTTCATTATAACCTCTCACTTAATTTTATAGATAAGAACACACTTGGAACATGTAATGATTTGCCCCAGGTTACCTAGCTGGTTCACATTACTAAGTCTGCATTAGCTTATAGTCTTGATTTGACTTGTTTATAGTATTACCTCTTAGTTTTCATTAGGACATAGCTGAGCTTGTACCTCTTTTGAAAAAAATTTCCCTTATTATTATTTAAAAAGAATTTTATTGTAGAATAAAATAAAAAATCCAGATAAGCAAAAATAAGGAAGGAAGAACTACCCAACTAATATTGAATCTTCTTAATTTTATCACCACTCTATAACCTTATCTGGAGGTACTGGGGAAATCTTATTGTTACTCATGTACTGATTATAGCTGGTATTCCAGGAAATCACAATCAGGTTACTAAGCTAAAGCCAGAAATGTAGAAGGTCAGGGTCAGAAGGAATAGTGCCACTGCCTGGAGCAGAGCAGGATCAGAAATGCAGATCAGAGAGTGCTGACAGGCTTTAAGTATTCAGCTGTATCTTGTGGTTTTCATCTGACCCTATTTCCTATTAATATGTATGTATTCAATCTGCTTTCTTCCTATAGATTATAATAGATACAGCATAGTGTCTGCCATAATCTCTGCCCACTTTCTGAGCAAAACTTGCCTAGCCATAGCCCTTAATAAACAGTCCTCAGAAGCTGTATTTGGAACTGTGTGACTCCTGCTCACCATTAAGGGCAGCCATTCTGTAGGCTGGGTAATAACCTTAGGAAGTCTTGCCAAAAAGGGGTATCACCCAACAAGAATGAGCTATGGCAATTAGATTTTTAGCCTTGGAAAATACAGGGAGAACTACATTATAAGAGAGTAGATGCAGAAAGGATGTACAGAAACCTATTTCAAGACAAAGGGCTGTGAGCAAGTTAATGAGGAAGTGGAAAATATGAGTAAGCAGAAACTAGGGGAGAAACAAAGAGAAGCTGATGTACTCCAGAGGAAAAGATGCATGGACTCAGCCGCCTTGTGTCCAGGCTAGTTAACTGAACCATCCTGTTTTCTCCCGCCTGTCAGCTTAGTCTTCATTACTGCCACACGTATCCTTAAATAATTGTCCCTATTTTATTTTATTTTTTGAGGTAGAGTTTCACTCTGTTGCCCAGGCGGGGAGTGCAGTGGTGCCACCGCACCTACGATTCTCCTGCCTCAGTCTTCCAAGTAGCTGGGACTACAGGTATGTGCTACTACACCCAGGTACTTTTTGTATTTTTAGTAGAGACAGGGTTTCACTATGTTGGCCAGCCTGGTCTTGAATTCCTGACCTCAGGTGATCCTCCCACTTCGACTTCACAAAGTGCTGGGATTAGAGGTGTGAGCCACCACGCCTGCCCAATTGTCCCTTATTTGATCTAAACTGTAACTTTCATTTTTTAAAAAGGGGAGGTTGAATTATATAATCACTAAAAAACTCTTTCATCCTATTAATCTTGAGTAGCATTATCTGCACGTATAATAAAATGACTGAGATCAGAAGTTCTCATATTTGACTGATTATTATACTCATCTCGGGAGTTAAAAAAAATGAAGATTCTGGGGACTCACTGAATCAAAATATCACAGAGAAAATCTTTCTGGTTTTGAGTCTCCATGTTTAGCAGATATAAATCATGTTTCTCCTCAGAAATGAAAGCATGATTGAGAAATCATTTGAAGTAAAACGGAATATTTAATAATGTTACTCCTATTTTAATTCTCTTGCCTTTTAATCTTGATTCTTATTATTTGTTAAAATATATAGTTTACAATATTTCCTAATTTATTTTCTCTATTTTTAAAAATTGGCACATAACTGTACATATTTATGGTATTTTACCTGCTTTTAATCCAAATTTTTCTTATTTCTTTTTCATTAATTTCTGTGTACATACATTTTTAGCTAACAATGCATTTCAGTTAATTGATTTCACACTTTATGAGGAATTAGAGCAAAATATACTATCATCTATAAGATAGGTAATATACACATTCAGAAAATGGATTAATGCAAATCCTTCAAGGCCTTTTCATAAAACATATTTGTGGAATCTATTCACTTCATAAATGTGAAAGGAAAAAATTAAGTAAAATACATTTAGTAAGAATCAGGAATATTAAAATTATGAGTTTTAAAAATTGTACTTACAAAGAGTGTTGGTTTAGGTGTAAATATATTGTCTTCATGCTCTTTAGGCACATTCAAAGTCTTTGATTTCTGATTTTCTGTCACATTTTTTGATACTGTTTTAGTGAGAAGTAAGCTGTTCTCAGAATGTTTACTATGCATCGTAACGAGAATCTGTTTCATTGCTGCCAATTCCTGTTGATATATGAAAACAGAAGAAAGTAGCAAGTGTGATTTTTAGCAAGCAGACTAATAATAATATTAAAATACTTTTAAGTAGAAGAAATAATTATACTACACAAATAAATTGTGAAAATAAAATAGTAATTACGATCATGCACATGAATCTTATAATAATTAATACTCATTTAATATGATAACTGACAATTACAACATTCTATAGTCCAGTGGTTTCCATGTTTTTCTGCACACTGGAATCACCTGTGGAGCTTCAAATATTGCCAGTGATGACTGTGTCCCAACCCCAGAGATTGTGAGATAACTGCTGCGGAGTGTGGCCTGGGCTTTGGATTTTTTTTTTTTTTTTTAAAGATAGGATCTCACTGTCACCTAGGCTGGACTGCAGTGGCATGGTCTCAGCTCACTGCAGCCTCTACCTCCCGGGCTCAAGTCATCCTCCTGCCTCAGTGCCTGAATAGCTGGGACTACAGGCGCACGCCAACACGCCCGGCTAATTTTTTTGTATTTTGGAATTTTTGAAGATCTCAAGTGATTCTAATAGACAAATTTGGGAACCACTGCCATAGTTACCTTCCACTGTAGATGTTCTCTATATATTTACTGAGTAGATCATTTAAGCATTTAACTTGTTCTCTTCTTTCTTTTAAACTGTCCCATTTCCTTTGAAGTCTTATATAAAGATGGTAGAGAAAAAGAATCCAATCTTGGCTACTAGTCAGCAGTTGAACACTAAGTTTAATACAGATTCAGGATTTCTCTAGTTGTATTATCCCTTATCCTTTTACAAATGATAAGTGGGGTTGGTTGCAGCTGCCCTTTGAACTAAGCATTAATTGTGATGAACTTTCTGAAGAGATCAAAATTTTCACCCGTTCTTTCTCCCAAGTGTATCTGTCTTTCATATCCATAGACAAATCTTTAGTATATAACACTAGTTAGTGGGTATTTATGATTAATTACTAAATTGATACATCATATACAAGTAAATGGAGAGATGGCAGGCTAAACTCTCCTTTATCTTTATTTATCAGAACAGAACAGTGGTAGGCTATGTAACAGGTAATTTTTTCCTCTTATTGTATTGTATCTTCATGTCAAAACACAAAAGTTATGGTGATAGAACCATGTTCTGCTCTCTTCTAATCTGTTTATAGACACCAGCTCTGTGTTGGAGCAAGTTCCTACAGGCTTTTCTCCTCTGGCTGTCATTAGTTCTATTTAGAACCATCTAACTTGAGTGGGTATCTTAAAGCAGTGTTGCTGAGTTTAAGCCATATAACCTTAATAGATTTTAGGGCCACGACAGGTGTCAGAAGAAACGGTGCCAGAATCCTTTCTCCCTTCTGTAGTAGTGGGCCTGGCTTGGCCAATGTACATGAGAATGCCTATACCTGCAGACATTGCCAATCTGATATATGATTATTTGGGCCATTTGGGGGCTCTTTTTGCTTTCTAGATTATGTTGTTTCATTTATATGCTCCTCTACGGTGAAGTATATAATTATTGATTTGATGTCAGATGGGTATAGTGTTATGGTAGATTTCAGCTCCTATTCTACTTACCAAGATAAGTAGAAGGGAAAGCCTATGAAAAGAAAAACTTTCTATCTGAAAGAACATCTCTTTATTAGCCATAACTTTTGTATCTTTGGCATGAAGATGAAATAACAGCAAAAATCCTCTCCAAAACAATCTAGCAGTATTCTACAGATAAATAAGGTAAAGGGGAGTTTAGTCTCTCATACTTGTTGGGGGAGGCAGGGAGGAAGGGCCAGGTGAGGAGGGAGAAAAGGAAGGAATCCAGAGTGTGGTAAGCAGAGGGTTTTGGCCTCCAAGTGTCCTAGAGGAGGCCATAATTCTGTTTCTCTTTGGCTTCCCTCTGTTGTTGGTATAGAAGCAGTTACAGTAAACAAACCATCCCTGATGTTGGTTAGGAGATTAGAAGGGAAATTCACATCTTTGCTTTACCTAAGATCACCCCGGTTTGGGGTGTTGTCACAGTACCACTTTTGTTAAAGTGACTATACAAAAAATATTAGCAGTTTCTGAAATCCAGGCAAAGAACACTTTAAAAGCAGCAAAATTCTGTAAAATTCTTATTAGGGTAACACAGCTAGAGTGGGTACCAAAATAACATTTAGAACACATTTTCAATTTTATTACATTTGGCTTACATAATGATCCAATTTATATCTATGGTAAATTTGAACAAAGAAAATCCCACTTTAATTTCTTTTTTTTAGAGACAGGGTCTTGCTCTGATGTCCATGCTAGAGTGCTATGGTGTGATTACAGTTCATTCAAGCTATCCTACTGCTTCAGCCTCCTGAGTAGCTAGGACTACAGGCGCATGCCACCACACCCAGCTAATTTTTAAACTTTTGGTAGAGATGAGGTTCAGGCTGGTCTCTCACTCCTGGCCTCTCACTCCTGGCCTCAAGTGATTCTCCAGCCTTGGCCTCCCAAAGTGCTGGGATTATAGACATGAGCCACTGCACCTGGCCAAGCACATGTAGTGGTACTATTTTAGTACGAAGCTATTAGCAAATGACACATCTATTCTTGACACTATTATTGGTTAAACTTAGGCTGCCTAATTTAATTCAATGAGCTTTAGTTTTATAATTGATAAAATGTAAGCTTCTGTTACCTTTTAGGATTTTTGCCAGTCTGGTAAGTGTTTGGGTATGTTTATTTTGCATTCCTTCTACAGCGAAGTTAAGCAGTTTTTTTTTTTTTCCAGTTGATCACTTTGGCCCATTTTTCTACTGAGTGGTCATTTTCTTATACCTTTCAAGGAGCTCTTTATATGTTAGGTAAACTAGCCCTTTGTCTTTAATATGAGTGTCAATTTTTCCAGTTTATCTCTTACTTGACTTTGTTTATGACTCCCTTCCCCTTTTTTTTTGTTATGAAGAACATTTGATTGTGATGTAGCAGAATATGTCAATCTTTTCTTCTATGGTCTTCTCCACGTTTTCTTCCTATATTTTCTTAAGTTACTTTTATGGTTTTTCTTTTCTTTTCTTTTTCTTGAGATGGAGTCTCAATCTGTTGCCCAGGCTGGAGTGCAGTGGCAAGATCTCAGCTCACTGCAACCTCTGCTTCCCGGGTTCAAGCAACTCTCTGCCTCAGCCTCCAGAGTAGCTGGGATTACAAGTGCCTATCACCCTGCCCGGCTAATTTTTGTCTTTTTAATAGAGACGGGGTTTCACCATCTTGGCCAGGCTGGTCTTGAACGCCTGACCTCATGATCCACCCGCCTCGGCCTCCCAAAGTGCTGGGATTACAGGTATGAGCCACCGCACCCGACCTCTTTTCTTTCTCAAACATATAGATCTTTGATCTGTTTAAAGTTTATCCTGGCTTATGGTGAAACATATGAATCCAACAACTGTCCCCTCAAGATGGCTCTCCTATAACAACATCAGGTACTGAATGCCAAATAAGGTACTAAATTGCCATAAGTATATTATTTATTCATGGACTTTAAAACTCTGTTTCCACGGTCTATTTATGCACCCATGACACACTATTTTAGTGTTTTACTCTTTAATGACTGAGGCATTTTTCTGGCTATATTACTGGAGATAGGCGTGGGATCATGCTAAAGGGAAAAATTAGAAAGAACTTTTTTTTTTTTTTTGAGATGGAGTCTCGTTCTGTCGCCCAGGTTGGAGTGCGGTGGTGTGATCTCGGCTCACTGCAACCTCTGCCTCCCGGGGTTAAGCAATTCTCTGCTTCAGTCTCCCAAGTAGCTGGGATTACAGGTGCCCACTACCACGCCCGGCTAGTTTTTTGTATTTTTAGTAGAGATGGGGTTTCACCATCTTGGCCAGGCTGGTCTTGAACTCCTGACCTCATGATCCACCCGCCTTGGCCTCCCAAAATGCTGGGATTATAGGTGTGGGCCACCGCACCTGGCCGTAAGAACTTCTTTATTATATTAAGTGTTCATAGCCATGAAAATATTTGAATATGTCTTACACTGACCTTTTTTTGACGTAAATTGTCCTATCCTAATTGATGTTACTATTAACAATGAAATGATCATTATTCATGAGATCCCAATTCACAAACTGACAAAGCAAACAGGAAATAAACAAACATAACGAGCAATAATTAGAAAACATTTCTGTTACTATGAAGAGAAATCCTTTGGTAAGATGAAATCAGTTTGAAGCTCTCTGCTTTGCTTCTAACTTGGTTTGGTTCTTATCCTGTGTCTGGCTTCTGGGCATTGGCTTCATCTCCTATTTCAGATTCCACTCTCACTGTTTGCATTTGAGTTTGGCGTCTCATTCCCCTACCTTTTGATTCTACTTTCCTCTTCTATAATTATCATTTTTTCTGATTGGTCTGTGGGTTTATTTGTAGCATCGTCTCATTATTTGTAAATATTGCTTACTGCAGAGAATGTGACTACAGAAAAGGAAACTGTGATGCTCAAAGAAAATGTTTTAAGTACTAAGTTCGACTGGATTCTTTTTCTTATACTTTATCTACTGCTCAAAAGTCATGCCATTGATTTAGGTTCCTATTTGTACTTCAACTTTCTAACAAATATTTTTTTTCTCCTCTTTTCAGAGTTTCTGCCCTTTTGTATTTTCTCATTGATAGAAACAATGTATGCCTTTTTCCTTATTACCTAATATTATCTAGCCTCTTAATCGTGTTGTTAGCTGAGATCAATTCTGTACTGACTGCTTTTAAGACCGAAATTTCTTTTTATTGTACACTTCGGCAAGTTCCATTATTTCTTGCACTTCCCTCTCTTTCTCTCCCTTCTCCACCTCCGGCTTCTACCTCCCTTTCTTTTTGTTGAGACAGGATCTTGCTCTGTTGCTCAGGCTGTAGTGCGGTGGCGCAAATATGGCTCACTGCAGTGCCTTCACTCCAGGGCTCAAGGGATCCTACTGCTTCAGCCTTCTGAGCCGCTGGCACCACAGGCACCTGCCACTGACCCCAGCTAACTTTTTAACTTTCTGTAGAGA